CCTGTTTTTTTGCGTTTTTTCTCCCTTTGAAGTGCCCCTTCCGCCCTTATTGTCTCTCAACCGTTGTACTTCTTACCTGTATTTCCTTTTGACTAACGTTTTGCGCGCCAGCTTGTGGTCAGGTGTGGTGGTGGAGCAAGGGACGTAGTAAAACCGTTCACAATCATCGACTCCAAGTCGAGGCTTGCTTGGAATTCCATCCAACGTTTATTTCACAATTCGTCGCGGAATCGAGCACACCATGGTGGAAAAAAGTGAAGTGTTGAGGAAGATTTTGTAGTGAAAAAAAATTAAAAGTGCCCAAAAATGAAATATAATACCATAGGATGTGGGGAAAAGAAGTCCTCGTTTACCATTTATGCGGATTTATCGTCGCAAGATAAGGTAAATAAGAGGTTGTTCAACTTGGGGGGATTATTCGAATGGGTGATGATGGGCAAAAGGGAATTGTGTCAATGGTGCAGTGTGTGAAAAAATTTTGAAATTTCATGGGAAAGTGATGATTTTACAAGGAAAAGTAGTTTTATGATGTAATTATGAATCGGTTTTGTGATGAAATTCGAGTGGAATTTTGCGGAAATTTAGAATTGGGTAAATATTTGAACGAATTATCTTATAATTGAGTCAAAACCCGTGATTTTTTGATTGTTTATTTTTTTGATTCTAAATTTTTGTTTTTAGATTGGTATCATGTAAAACGTTAAAAACTCGAAAATGAGTGCTTTAATAGACTTTTTCCAAAAAACCGAAAATACTACATTTTTACCACAATTTCCAAACGGTTGGTAACACTTAGAACTTGAATTTGTAGTTTTTAATAGTGCTACCAACTATAAAAACTTTTTTTTTTGATAGTGGTATAAACGCAAAATAGATACAAGATAATTTTCATTGCTGCCAACTTTGCTAATGAAAAGCGTGCTTTAATGACCTTTTATTATTATTAATTAGTGCTTTTTTTTAGTGTATTTATGTTTGTTTTTGACAATTTTGAGACCAACTCAAGAATAAGTGAGTGCTTTAATAGTCTTTTTAGCACCCAAAATGACATTTATTTTTAGTAAAAATGTTAACATGTTGGTAACAGTGTCGTTTTTGTATCATAGACATTGCTACCAACAGTTTTTTTTAATATTTCAAAAAATCAGTGTCTTTTTTTATCAATTTAGGGTATTTATGTTCGGTTTTTGACAATTTTGAGACTACTACCAACTTTAGAAAAAGTGAGTTTTTTAATAGTCTTTTTAGCACCCAAAATATCTTTTATTTTTATTAAAAATGTTAACACGTTGGTGGCAGTGTCGTTTTTGTATCATGGACATTGCTACCAACTGTTTTTTTATATTTAAAATATATGAACAAGTTATTTTGATAACTGACACATAAAAAACATTTTTTGGGCCAGAAATGAGTCAAAACTTGTGATTTTTTTTTTGATTTCAGTTTTTTTGTTTCCATTTTTAGGTTGGTAGAATGTAACGTTACAAATGAGTGCTTTAATAGGCTTTTTCCAAAAAACCACAAATGCTACATTTTTACCACAATTTTCAAACGGTTGGTAACACTGAACACTTAAATTCGTATTTTTTAACAGTGCTACCAACCATAAAAACGTTTTTTTTTTTTGGTAGTGGTCTAAGCGCAAAACAGATTTTTATTTATTTCGATCTACAGGAGAATTTTCATTGCTGCCAACTTTGCTAATGAAAAGCGTGCTTTAATGATTTTTTTAGCACCCAAAATGACTTTTATTTTTAGTAAAAATGTCAACATGTTGGTAGCAATGTCGTTTTTTGTATCGTAGACATTGCTGCCAACTGTTTTTTTTAATATTTAAAATATTTGAACAAGTTATTTTGATAACTGACAAATAAAAAGCATTTTTTGGGCCAGAAATGAGTCAATTTTTTTGTTTTTTAATTTCAGTTTTTTTGTTTTCATTTTTAGGTTGGTAGCATGTAACGTTACAAATGACTGCTTTAATAGACTTTTTTCAGAAAACCGAAAATGCTACATTTTCCAAACAGTTGGTGATATTGAGAACTTTAATTTGTAATTTTTAACAGTGCTGCCAACCATAAAAACGTTTTTTTTTTGTAGTGGAATAAGCGCAAAATAGGTTTTTATTTATTTCGATCTACAGAATAATTTTCATTGCTGCCAACTTTGATAATGAAAAGCGTGCTTTAATGACTTTTTTTAGCACCCAAAATGACGTATTTTCAGTAAAAATGTCAACATGTTGGTAGCAGTGTCGTTTTTTGTATCATAGACATTGCTTCCAACTTTTTTTTTTAATATTGCAAGTCAGCTTTTTTACCTGTTTATTATCATAGAATCTTTTGTTATATTTATTTTTGAATACTTATTTATTTTTTTACTTTTATTATTTTTTTATGGCTTATGAATCTTATCTACCTTCGTCGTCATTTTATTTGTTTTTTTTACTATCTATTTAGCTATTTTTTGTATTCTGCTTCTTATTAAAACAATTTTCGAGACATCAGAATTTTTGTATTTTGTCTGCTTTAACAATTTTTTTCTACTTTTATCTCATTTCTTAATTTTTTTCTTGTTTTGTGTTCACTTTCTTTTTTTCTACTCTTTTTTTAAACCTCTGAATAATAAAGAAATTTGTATGAATTTTGTAGTTTTTTCTTTATTTGTTTTTACTTTTTTTATTTAGTCCAAATTATTAATTTTTTATCATCTAAATTGTTCACTGTTTTTTTAACTTTTTTTCACTTTTACTTTGTTTTTTTCCCTTTCTTAATTTTTCATTCTGATTTTTTTATTTCCACCTTATTTTACTTTGTATTTTGTTCTTCAATTTTCTACTCCTTTTCTCTTATATTATTTTATTGTTTAATAAACAATTTTAATACTTTTTAACGATTTTTTTTATTTCTAAACTGTTTCTTTTTTATTTTTATTAGTTGGTGGACAGCTAGGCCCAAATAAAATAAATAATAAAATAAATGAGCGCTTTAACATTCAAATGCGTTTGTTAATTATAATTTTTGCATAGTTGGCAGCAATGCAAACTGTAATTTTTACTAAAAACTATCAATTATTTACCCAAATGAGTGCTTTAATAGACTTGTTATAGATGCAAAATGAAAAAATGCAAATTTGTACATTTTTTTATATCAATTTGGTAACTTTAACATCACTACCAACTTTACAAAAATGTAATAAAAATGAGTGTTTTAATGATTAATTTAATGCTAAGTACAAAAAAATAGTGCTTTTTTACCAATTTACTTATGTTTGTTTTTGACAATTTTGAGGCTACTACCAACTTTAGAAAAAGTGAGTGCTTTAATAGTCTTTTTAGCACCCAAAATGACTTTTATTTTTATTAAAAATGTTAACACGTTGGTAACAGTGTCGTTTTTTGTATCATAGATATTGCTAACAACTGTTTTTTTTAATATTTAAAATATTTGAACAAGTTATTTTGATAACTGACAAAAAAAAACACTTTTTGGGTCATAAATGAGTCAAAACTTGTAATTTTTTGTTTCTAAATTTTTTGTTTCCATTTTAAGATTACAAACTCGAAAATGAGTGCTTTAATAGACTTTTTTCTTGAAATGTTACATTTTTACCACAATTTCCAAACGGTTGGTAACATTGAGATCTTAGTTGACCATTTGTAATTTTTAACACTGCTACCAACCATAAAAACGTTTTTTTTGTAGTGTTATAAGCCCAAAATAGATTTCTTTTATATAATTTTTATTGCTACCAACTTTGCTACTAAAAGGAGTGCTTTAATGGCTTTTTCAACACTCAAACGAGTGTTTTAATAACTTTTTTTGCTATTTTTCACGACTGTTACCAACTTTACAAAATAAGTTTTAAAAAACAAATGAGTGTTTTAATGGCTGTTTTAACACTCAAATGCGTGTTTTAATCACAATTTTTGCATAGTTGCAATGCAATATATAATTTTCATTAAAAACTATTATTTAGATACTAAAATGAGTGTTTTAATAGACTTGTTATAAGTAGAAGCAAAATAAACACATTTTATCACTGCTACCAACTTTTAAAACAATAATTTAAGTGTACATTTTTTTTATTACTACCAACCTTACTAAAATCATTGCTACCAACTGTTTTTTTTTTTAATATTGCAAGTCAGCCCGCGCCCACTTTAGGTATGAGGAAACCTTTCTCAACCCTCATTTCGCAACACTCCCATATGGGTTAAGCCCGAGACAAAGACATTGTTATCAAATATAGCCAAGGCTAACCCGATCCGTACCAATAATTAAATAGAAAGTTGTTGAAAAGTTGGTCACAAAACGTTATTTTTAACCGAAACTTGTTTCGACCATAGCCTCAAGACATCCATATGTAAAAATCGGCGCCATTTTGACATACCCCAGCTATCTAGATACAGTTCATTGGACTTTTTCCTGTGGTATTATCAACAAGGAAATGGTTTAACCATTTTTTTTCCTTATCACTCACATTTGCATGACAAAACAAGTCAATAAAATTCATGTGACTAACCCTAACAGTGTGCTTATCAATTAGAATGATTGTTTTTAATTGGCTGAAACGGAAACAATTGACTCACACTTGATTAGAATTAACATGAGAAAGGAGAGGTCCCCAAGTGGTGCCTTGCGGCAAATTCCGAAAAAACGACAAAGTAGGCCGGTCATAACCTACGGCTTGTCATGGCTCACTTACGGGTCACGTGATCGATCAATTGTCGAAAGATAAGATAACGCGATTGTGGGTCGCGAAAAAAATAAATTTATTAGTCAAATGGCGCGTCACGTGACGCGTTTTAACCTCGAAATTTGCGTAAAAAGTGGCGCGAAATTTGAAAATTTGAATTTGTGTGAGAGTCTTCTCTCGGTCAAGGGGACGGCGCACGCGTCTCAATCCTCTGAAATGTTTGGAATGCTGTTCTGCTTAATCAGCTATTAGGTTTTTTGTGTGTGATGATGGCAAAAGGGTGGACCTTTCACTTTGCATACCGGGTTAGGGAAAGCGAGATTTGAATTTCCCGCGTGAGAGAATACATAATTTGTGGTTTTGGTGTGTGTGAGACATTCCTGAAGGCGGTTTTTATGGGCATCGAAACGAGTTTTATTAGAACTAATACCGATTTCAAGGTTGGAGAGTGAGAGATTGGAATTCGATGAAAATTTCGACAATGTTGGTGGAGTAATACTCGAAAATAAAGAGAATGCAATTCTAAGCTAGTTTTCTAGGTGTGATTGATGTTTTTGCGTGATTTTCTGATAAAATCTTTTTTTGTGTTTCTTTTTAACTTCAAAATTATTTATCTTGTTTACTTTAGTTTTCCTACTTTTTATTGCTGTTTATTTAATCAATAATTTTTTTAGTTTACTTTATTTATTTTAAACTTTTTTATCCCTTTTTTGTGTTAATTATCTCTTAATCTCTTATCTTTCATATACTGTTATCTATTATTCAATTTTTAATTAAATTTTTTACGGTGTTTTACGATGACTAATTTTTTTGATGATTTCTGAATTTTAGTTTGGAGATTTAGTTTTTTTACGGTTTTTCTTCCAATTGTTACTTATTCTTGCTTTTACTGTGTTATCGTTTTATTATTCATTAATTTTGATTCTTTTACTTTTTTATTTGCACCTTATTTTTGTTTCCTACTTGTTATTGTACTCTTTATTTTCTTTCTTTTATTATTTTTTTATTTCTCAATAAACAATTGTGTTTTTATAATTTTTTATTTTTTTAACTAATATTTTG